CACAGCTCTGTCCCTGGGAGCTGCCACAGAGCCAGGGCAGCGCTGGGGGTGCGAGCGTGGCCAGTGCTGCCCCAGCCTTGCCACAGGGAGATTTCAGGGGTGCTCCACACCTACTGTGGAGCCTCCAGGACCCTGTCAGCTTCTCCACCTGTGCTTCTCAGAGAGCCGGGATTGATGGCTGCTCATGGCAGGTAAGGCTCAGCAGGCTCCAGCAGAGCCCAGGGCACGTGCTGGGTGATGGACACCCGTACCCGGCTGTTCTCCCAGTCCAGCAGCGCCGTGGGGATGCTCCCGAGCAGCACGACACAACTGGGGCACAGTTAATAGGCACATCCATCAGTTCACCCACCGTGGAGACACGAGGGAAGCTCTGACAGCCTTGCTCCACCATTCCTCTCCCTGCTGTCCTTCACTCCGGGCTGCCAAGCGCCAGCGCATCCCAATTCCTCACACAAGCAAGGTCTGGCCACACACTGCCCCAGGGCACTGCCACCACCTCTTTCCACCTTCCAGCCCTGCCTTGCCCCCTCCCAGCCCCCTACGCTGCTCAGCCCACCGCTGTTCCCAGCAGCAGTGCCAGTGGGATGAGCTCTCCCGGTGTCCCTGTCCCTGCCCGCCCGGACACCGCACCCTGGACACCTCAGAGTGGGGTCAGCGCTGCGGAAAACTTCCAGCTTCCCACGGCACCTCTCCCTCCCTGAGGAAGGGCACCCAAATCACCTCCAGCGTCCTGCTGACACAGTGCTGCAGCTCTGGGCTGCTGCCGGGGGGTGCAGCCAATCGATCCCTGGCCCGTGGCAGGGAACAACTTTACCGTGCAGGGAGGAGCAGCTCCCCGGAGGAGACGTGGGGTTATCCTCACCCAGCCTCAGGGGGTCAAATGCAGCCGTAGGCAGAGGGGATGGGGGATCCCTTGGCACTTTCAGGCCGCTTGTTAGAATGTTGCTGGCAGAACCCTTGAGGAGAGCAGAGGATCACAGAGGAGACCCCGTGGGACACAACAAGGGTGAGTTCTCCTCACTGCAGAGGACTGAGGACAGTGACAGCAACCCCCCAGCACTGGGGCTTCACGGATTCTCCAGAACCACGGACAGTCCTTGTTACAGAACACTAAAATTTCCTTGGGCCGGGTGGGATTACAGGTGTTAAAGAGCAAGACAGGGGTTGGGAGCTGGCAGGGACCTCTGCCTGATCCTGTGCAGAGTTACAGGGAACTGCTGGGGTGTCTCAGGGAGAGACAGAGTCCCTGCAATGCTGCCCTGCTCCCGGGGCTGAGGAGTAAAGGGGAGCGCCGGGGAAGGGAAGAGCCTGGGGCAGTGAGGGGTGTGAAGGACAGCTCTGGAGGGACAGAATAAGGTGGGTTCGGTGGAGGTGGCCTCGGGCTGTGCCGGGTCAGGATCAAACTTTCTCCTGGGATACAGCAGGGTTGCCTCAGCGATTCTTGCAGATGCTCTGCAGTGGCTGCCGGGGGACACGGCCGCTCTTCCCCTGCGTGTTGGAAGGGGATGAGGAACCTGTGCGCTCCGGAGGGCAGGCGGCTCCGCGGGCGGGGGCGAGCAGGCAGCGGCAGCGCAGGGAGAGGGGAAAGCACCGCTCCGAGGGAGAGCCGCAGGCAGCCGAGAGCTGGAATGACAAAAGCAGCCGGGTACTCACCCGCAGTCTGTGCCCGGGACCTCTCGCTCAGCTTCAGCCCGGCGAGTCCGTCCCAGCCAGGACAGTCCTGCAGAGCCTGATCCCTGCGGTGCCTCCTGCCCACTGCCAGCTGCCGGGATGCCGGGCCACCTTGTCTTTTAAAGGTCACAGCCAGAGGACCTTGCAGTAAATAAAAGGTGCTGATGGGAAGCTCTGTTCCAGCGTTGCCACCTCCTCCTCCCCCTCCATCGGCAGGAGAGCTCTGCCTGCTCCGGGAGCGCAGCATCGTCTGGCTCGGGCAGGTTTGGGAGGCGGCTGGGACTGTCCCCCTGGGGCAGCCCCTGGCAGGATGCTCCAGGGCAGCCGGGGCCAGCGCTGCGCCTGCTGCGTTCAGCTGGGAGCTGCAGCCCAGCTGCTCTGCTCAGCCCTACCTGGTCGGCACCCACGTGGAGGGAGGCAGGAGCCCTCCTCGGAGAGCAGCAGCCTGGCATTTTAACCCTCTCAGCTCCGCCAGTGCAAGGTGAGAGGGACTGAGGGCACACAGACAGCCCCCCGGCAGGCTGTGAGCCAGCTGGCAGCGCCCCTGTAGTGCTTTGGATTCATTTGAGCCCTCCTTCCTGTCCCCCAGGGAGGTGACAGCGTCCGAGCACGGGGTGCTCGCGTTCCCTGAAACCAGACTCATCAGCCTGGCGCTGGGCTCAGCAGAACAAGTTTCCGCTGAGCCGCAGGAATTCCGCGTCCCACGCCGGACGTCTGAGTCCTGCCGAAATCCCAGGGCCAGCTGCTGCCAGTGCCCTTCCCCGGCCACTGGCCGGGCCGGGGGACAGCAGAGCCCTGTCCAGGCCCGCGGCAGTGGCAGATGTCCCGCGGGATCAGTCGGTCGAGGAGACCGGCTGGAGCTGCCAAGTGTGACAGCTCCATCAGGCGCTGGTGACAGGCAGAGTTCTGCTCCCAGCCCCGGGGCTGAGCGGGCACAGCGGCCCCGGCGTGCAGGGGAGCGGGCACGGCGCCAGGCCGTCACCTCTGCGGGGATGCTCAGCAGGGAGATGTGGCTGCAGGGCCACGCCAGCACGGAATAAGCTGGGTGCCCAGCTGTCCAGTGCACCCCGTTTGTGCCAGTACCCACAGGAGCTCTGTCGTAGCCAGGTTTCCCAGCCTTCCTGCCTCTGGAAGGATTTAGGGCTCTGCTGGCAAGACTCTCAGCGGCAGTTTAGCCAAATGCATCCCAACTTGCATCCCAAATGCAAGCAAACTTGGCAGGCACCTGAGCATCCCGGGAGGGGCTCCTCCACACCTCCCCCCGCACCAGGGGAGGGGTGCTGCTGTTCCAGGTCTGCACTGAGCGGGTCCTGTGTGCTGGACGCTCAAAGTCACCTGCACCTGTGCCTCTGGCCCCAGGAGCCACCAGGCACCCCTGCAGGGGTGACAGGCGTCCCTGCACCCCCTCGGATCTCTGCCTGTCCTCTCACAATTAGTGATGCTCCAGCAAACGCTGCGCTCCTCCTCCCGTCTCCACACAGCGCCTGCGGCTCTGCTCCCCTCGCTGTATCCATCACCTCGCTCTATCCATCAGCTCCCTGAATCCATCCCCTCCCTGAATCCATCCCAGCAGCCCGCCAAGGCACCTTCTGCTGCATCAGCAGAGCCGTGCACGCCGCTCCCGCAGCGCCGGCTGCCAGCGCTGCCCTGCCCGCTCCGCCTGTATTTTTCCTGCCTCTCTTGCCAGCTCTGCAGCCCTAACGCCTCAACCCACAGGCACTGCTGGCATCCTCTCAGGCTCCCCCGGGATGTCCCCGTGCCCTGCAAAGCCTCCTGCTTTCCCTCTTCTCTGCTGCTTCAGCCGGGAGAGCTGCGAAGGGGGCTGGATGGGGATGGAGTGCCCTGAAGGTGACAGGCTGTGGCACCTTAGACATCCCTGCAGGTCAGCTGCTCTCACACCCAAAAACCAGTCAATCCAGCTCAGGGAGGCCATGCCTGGTCCCTGGGGTGAGCTTTGCCAGGACGCGTGCCCCGCATCACTGCAGCCCAGAGAAAAAGCCAGCGCCGTTCCTGCTCCAGGAGTGCGGCAGCACCTCCTCCCCTTCCCACCATGGCTGTTTTGGGATGCGTCACCTCCCGCAAGCGCTGCTCTCCGCACGGGGCTCGTGTCTAATGGAGCTGGGCAGAGGTGAAGCTCTGCCTGCCCACACCATCCCGGGAGCTTCCATTAGGCGAGCCCCCACCGCCGCCTTTGGGATGCGGTGTGCCGAGGGCGGCCCTAATGGATGCGAGGCAAGGAAAAGGTTGCTGAGACGAGAACCTTTGTGCAGACAATTATCCCGGAAAAAGATCACGGTGCGAAAAATGAGTTCTCAGAGTGTTCGTTTTGGCGCCGGGCGGGTCCCTCTGCAGCCATCGGGGTCTGGCTTTGCATCCCACCCGTGTCTGCTTCTGCCTTGGGGATGGAGGGCAGGGACACCTGGTGTCACAGTGCTGAGGTGCCCCGAATGAGAGCTGAGCCCCTGCCTCGTCCTGTTTTGTTGTCCTGGGGAGCCACCGGCCTGAGTGGTGCTTTGGCCTCTACCCAAGGTGGCCCAGGACAACACCAGCCCAGTGTTTCCAGGCCACCACAGAATCAGTGAGGTTGGAAAAAACCTCTAAGATCAAGTCCAGCTATTAACCCATCACTAAACCATGTCCCCAAGTGCCACAGCCATATGTTTTTGAACTCTTCCAGGTTTGGTGACTCCACCACTGCCCTGGGCAGCCTGTGCCAGGGCTGGACAATCCTTTCAGTGAAGAAATCTTCCCTGATATCCAACCTAAACCTCCCCTGGCACAGCTTTAGGCCTTTTCATTTTGTCCTGTCATTTGTTACCTGGGAGAAAAGCCCGACCCCCACCTGGCTCCACCCTCCTGTCAGGGAGTTGACGAGAGCGAGAAGGTCCCCTCGAGCCTCCTTTTCTCCAGTTTAAACCCCCCTCAGCTCCCTCGACCTCTTCTCATCCGACCGGTTCTCCAGCCCCTCCTCTGGACACACTCCAGCACCTCAATGTCCTTCTTTCGAGGGGTCCAAAACTGCACCCAGGGTTCGGGATGCGGTTTCATCAGTGCCGAGCGCAGGGGAACCATCACTGCCCTGCTCCAGGGAGCGCTCCTCGATGCCCCGGGCGGGCGGATGCGCGGGGCGGGAGCGCAGAGGGATGCGCGGGGGATGCGGAGGAGCTCGGAGGAGCTCGGAGGAGAGAGAAGGAGAGCGGAGGAGGGCTCAGCACAGCCCCGCCCGGCGCGGCCCCGCCCGGCGCCGCTCGCCCTCCGCGGGGGCGGCCAGAGCCGGGCGCTGCGGGCAGCAGGGACCGCTCCGCTCCGCACCGCCCCGCACCTCAGCCATGGCCCCGGGCTCGCCCGCCGCTCGCCGCCGCGCCGCGCCGCGCCTGCTGGCCGCGCTCCTGGGTAAGGGGCGCGGGGGGCTGCGGGGACCCCTCCGGGTACCGCCCGCGTCCTGTGTCCCCCCCACCCCAGCTCCCCGGCCGGGACCATGCCCCGGGGAGCCGCGGCAGCCCGAGGCGGGGGTCCCCGCTCCGCACCCAGCCCCCGCACCCCGCCCGCCGCGCCCGGGGATGCCGCCCGCGGGCGCTAACGCCGCTCTCCGCTCTGCAGACGGACGGTCCAGAGCGCCGGGGATAAGTCACTTGGCCAAGGTGACTTCGCAGCCGAGCCCCAGCTCCGAAGTCCCGGCTCCGGCCCCTGCCCTGCCCGCACCGGCGCTCCCGTCGCCAGCGCTTCTCCTGCGAGCACTGCGGCTGCACCCCGCTTTGCCCCGCTCCTGCGCTGCCCGGCCAGCGGGGACCGCGCTGCCTGCCTGCCCGGGACCGGGGGATGGCCGCGGGGAGGCCGTGCACTGCTTCAGCGCCAGCACGCCCGCCGACAGGTCATTGTCTTACAGTTCATTCGGTACAACCACCATTCGCATGTGCTTGTCCCTGGCGCGGGGACCGACCCGCGCTGCAGGGCCGCTGCTTGGAGCATGATGCCCAGCCCCGTGTCCGGGGATGCCCGAGATCCCTCGGCACAGGCTGCAGGGAGGGGCTGGCAGCCGTTCCCTCCCCACTGCACACCTGGGGCAGGCTCCAGCCTCCTGCATCAGCTTCACGCACCCGCCGCACTCCTCCTGCTCCCGTGGGTCATCCTCGCGTCAGCCCGGGACCGCGAGCTGGCTGTGCAGCGCTTGCTGCTGGGGCACTCCCGTGGGACGCGTTTTAGAGGGCAAAGTTCTTAAGTTAAAGGATGCTGGAGACTCAAAAAAAGCATGTAAGTACCTGACCCCCTGCGAGGTTTGGGTGCCAGCACCTGAGCTGGCAGTGGGGTGGTAGGAGAGACTCGGAGATGCTTGAGACCACTCGGGGGTCTGGGGTTCAGGGTGTGGAGGTGGGAACCTGGTCCCACAAGTCGCTCAGGTGGGCTGGGAGCTGGAGAAGGCGCTGGGCAGGGGATGCAGGGCGGGTCTCTCTGTCCCTCCGTGGAGGTTTCGGGGATGCCGTGCTCCGCAGGGAGTGGCAGCGGGCTCCTGGCTGCAGCACGGAGCCGCGGCACAGCCCCTTCCATAGCAGAGGTGAGGGCCGTGTGTCCTGCCCCAGAGATCACCGCAGCCGGCTTCGGGCTGGCCACGGAGCTCCTCTCTTTGAACCCCGCTGGAGAGGAGCCCGGCCAGCCTGCCAGGCATGGCTTGCTGCCTGCGCCAGGATGTCACGCTGACTTCTGTGGGCAGTGAAAGTTTTTCTGGAGCAGCTTTGCCACAGATGGCAGTCCGGGGTGAGCACCGTGCCCAGCGAGCCCCTCACTCTGGGGGCTCTCCCTCTGCAAGAGCAGAGCGCAGGCAGCCAAGGCTCCGGCAGCAGGAGTGGCTGCTCCCTGCTTTCCTGTCTCTGGGGAAAGGCTGGTGCCTGCAGGCATGGGAGGGAGCCTGGAGCCCCCAGGGGAGTGGCCCTGAAGGTTGGGGGGCCGGTGGTGCAAAGCAGCTTTGGGAGGGTGTGGAAAAGCAGCGCTGGGAGCTGATGTGCGGCAGGATCAGTCAGCGCTCCCCCAGCGTGTTTTCCTCGGTGCTTTATTTAGTGGTGACATATCAATTTTGACTTCCTGAGAGCACAGGATGACAGGAAGAAGGTCAGCCTCGATTTACCCCACACACTCAATTCAGATTACATTCTAAGGGTGGCAGACAGGTTCTAAAGTGTTACAAGCTGCAAGGAATCATCTTTCCTGTGAGTGAGTGTCCGCTTGCAGCACGCTGCAGGCTCAGACTTACCTGCAGAGCCAGGCATCCCTCCGCCAACTCCTGCTCCAGAGGGACAGCTCCTGTCCCCTGGGACACTCCTGCCTGTGAAGTCCCCTCTGTAGCACCCCCAGGGCTGCTCTAGGAGCCTGACAGGTGCAGGAGATTCCATCTGCCAGGAACCACTCCCTGACGTTAGCTCCGGCCTCTCCAGCAAAATGAGGAGTGCTTCTGTGTAAAGTTAAATAACTCCTCGCCTGCAGTGCTTGCAATGCAGCACTGCAGCAGGGCCCGGAGCCCAGGATGCAGGGCTCTCAGGCTTGGCTCCGGCTGCGACGTGCCTGGGGAGTTGTTAGCACTGGCTTGTGTGGGAGAATAAATCAGCAGCTGAGGCAGCTGCAGAGAGAGGCGAACCCCGGACTGGGCAGTGTGTCAGAGTTAAGGTGTTGGGGCAGCTGGGGATCGGCTTGTAGCTGTGGGAATTTGTGGATTTTGTGCCCAGGGAAAGCTCTGCAGGGGTGGCTGAGGTCTGGGAAAGGGGAGGATGGTGCTTTGCTGGGCCATGTCACATCTCAGCCATGCCACATCACACACAAACGGGACAGGGCCATGGTGGGATGGGGATGGGGAGCGGGGCTGCTCCTCTGGCCAGGACCAGAGCATCCCTATGGTCCCAGAAAGGACCTGTGGTGGCCCAGCCCAGCCCAGTGCCAGTCCCTGCACCCCTGGAGCGCTCAGCTGCCCCTGGGCTCCCACTGCTCCTCTCGCCCTGCTCACAGAGAGGCGAGGAGCGGGAGAGCTCATCCTGCAGTTTGAAGGTCATCTGGCAGCTCCAGAGGGAGCCGGGGCTCTCGCTGCTGGGCGTGAGGGGCTGCTCCCGAGGGCCAGCTGGGGCTGTGGGAGGTCGAGCGGGTGGCAGGCGGCCAGGACAGCCACGCTAATTACTGCTCCAGCTCCCGCCTGAAGAGCAGAGCTCTGCTTCGCCTTGGCTTTCTTCTCCCCTTTTAAGGTCTAGCTGGAGGCCTGTGGATAACATGCAAATCAGGGCTCTCATTTGCACGCTTTGTTCGTGGGGATATTCTGGCTCCCTTTGAACCCACGCTGTCTCTGTGGGTGACCCAGCCCCAGTTCCTGCAGGATCGGGTCCCCTCTGTCACCGAGCTGTTCTAGGGCTGGGGACAGGAGCATTTGACGCCTGGTATGCCAAAGGGGACGAGGGGTGAAAAGCCTTGGCCTCACTCTCTGCTCCCCTCTCCCTGCCAGGTTTGCACACCTTTGCCATCGCCTTCGCCTTGGAAGTGTCAGTGGGGAAGACCAGCACGGTGATGGCTCTGAATAACTCCAATATCCTGCTGCCCTGTACCTTCACCACCTGCATAGGCTTCCAGGACCTGGTCTTCACATGGTATTTCAACTCGACAGAGCTGGTGGGTGGCTCTCTGGGCTCTGCCTCTGCTTTCCTGGCAGGTCCTGTTGTGCTTCCCCAGTGCAGCTCAGCACTGCAGCTCTCGCAGTTCCCTTTCTCCCGGTGCAGGATGCCCTTCTCTCCAAGTGTCACCAGCTCTGGGGGAGCTGTGCAAACGGGGTGACTCAAATACCCCAGAACATCATGCTTTTGGCACAAAGCTGCTCTAGATTTGCTGCTGCCCACAGGCTCATTTGTTTTCATAAATTTGCTGTTCAGGTGCAAAACTGCACTTAGGGCAAAATACTGTTCATTTCCTCCTCCTTCGCTTGCTCTGAAATATGAAATGTTCTGTATAGATTTACTTCCTGCTGGGAATATTTGGCTCCCCAGTTCCTCAGCAGGAGGGCTGGTTTGGAGCAGTTCTGGCCAGCAGAGGAGCTCACTTTCTCTGGGGATCTCTTATTTTTTGCATGGTCTGTTCCATCCTTTCAGGACAGGTCAGATCTGCTGCATCCTAGCAGGATGTTCATCTCCATGGCCTGAATGGGGTGTAATGGGCCATTTGTTGGGGGTGCCTGTGTGTGCAGAGCTGAGCCTGGGCACCTTCAGGAGAACGTGAGCCTTTCCCTCACCCAGCTGATCCTGCTGCCCCTGCCTCTGCAGATTTACCATGGCAAGATAAAGAACAAAGCCACGGAGCCCACCCTCATCTGGCACAACCCGCGGGTGGAGTTTGTCGGCTCCACCACCAAGAAGGACAACAACATCTCCATCGTGCTGAACAACGTGGAGTTCAGCGATGCTGGCAAGTACACCTGCCACGTCAAGAACCCCAAGGAGAGGAACGCCCAGCACAATGCCACCATCATCCTCACCGTGGTCCATAAGAGTGAGTGCTGGCCGGGGCACTGGGGTGGCACTGGGCCAGGGGAAATGCCCACACACCATGACGGGCTCTCCTTGGTTCACTCTTGTGCTGGTGCGTGGAGGTGGCTGACATCCCTGGAAGCCTGGGGTGGAGGAGGTTCTGGGTTTTTGGGGCGGGATGTGCAGCTGGGAGCTCCCTGCTCCCCTCCCAAGCCCCCCTCAGCACCTTCTCTCCCGCAGTGGTGGAGACGGACAACACTGTGACACTCATCATCGTGGGCGTGGTGGGGGGGCTCATCGGCCTCCTCATCCTCTTCATGCTCATCAAGAGGGTGGTCCTGTTCATCATCAAGAAGACGCAGGACGGGAAGTGAGTGCGGGGTGCTGCGGTGGGTTGGCGGTGAGCGGGGTCGGGGGGCTGTCAGCTGCCCGTGCGCTCTCCCTGTGCAGGAAGGAGTGTCTGGTGAGCTCGTCAGGGAACGACAACACCGAGAACGGCCTGGCCGGCTCCAAGGCGGAACAAAAAGCACCACCAAAGGCATGAGCGAAGCAGCGGCGCCCCGCGCCCGCCCCGCTCCGCCGCGGGAGCCCGGGCACGGGACGAGCCTTCCCCTTTTGTTTTCTTTCCGAACTGCCAGCGCTTGAGACATGTTTCTATTACACACGTGCCTGCAACCTGCACTGCTTCTCGGAGAAGGCTGCGGCTGCCGGGGGAACTGGGAGCTTCTCGCGGACTCGGGCTGGGAGGCTGCTGGGGCGGAGGGAGCCGCCGGCTCCGCTCTGAGCGCGGTGCCGGGCAGGCAGGGCAGGGGGCCGGCTGTGGGCACCGGGGGGCCCGGTGGGGCGTGGGGTGGCACGCTGGGTGCTGAGCTGAGGTGGCTGGGAGCTGCCTGCTGCATCCAGGAGGTTTCTGGAGCAGGGCAGGGATGCTCAGAGCTGGCCGTGCAGATGGAGTGGCGCAGGAGGACGGGAGGAAGCAGGGCTGTGATAAGCACACTAGAGAACCAAATCAGTGACAGGCCCCTGGCTGTGTCTCGGTCCCCAGCAGGGCTGGGGGGGCTGGCCCAGGGTCACTGCTGGCCCGGGATGGGGTGAGGTGCCACATTTCACCCTGGCTTTGTCCCCGAGCATCCCTGGGAGCAGGGGCGCTTCTGCCCTGCAGCCGTCCCGGGAGCGCTCCCTGGCTTTGTGCTGCCCCCTCCCCTCTCTCCGGAGCTCGGCACTCGCAGCAGCGATGCTTTTGATGCTGGTGCCAAGGCTGAACTCACTACGCGGATGTTTTTGTACGAAATTCCAGGGGGAAAGCAGCCAATTGCGTTTCCCTTTCGCCGTGGCTTCCATGGCCACGCAGGGAGGGAGCACAGCCGAGCCCTGGCGAGGGGAGCCGGGCCAGGGCTGTGCCTGCTGGGCAACCCTGGGCAAGTTGCTCTGCCTCTCCATGCCTCAGTTTCCCCATCTGTAAAATGGGAATAATAATACTGCTCTACCTCACGGGGTGGGGGTGAGGTTTCCTTGGCTATGGTGAAGTGTTCTGGGATGAGGGGAGCTGCAGAAAGCCAGGGGGTCTTTGTGAGTGGACTCACAAGGATGTGAGACACAAAGTGTCTACGAGAGACAATTCCTTTAAATTGTGATTTGTTCCCTGTTTCTGCAATTTGTGGGAGTCTGACAGTGAAGCTGCAGGACAGGCAGCTCCCCTGTCCCCACAGTAAATTGGGATTCACAGCTGAGCCATGACTTGCTGTGGGGATTTGTGCCCTGGCAGAGGTGCTGGAGTGGGAGGTAGGCGAGGATTTGGAGGCCAAGGTGAACAAGGAAAGGCTGGGTACTGCTTTCTCTGGAGATGCTGGTGCACAGTGGGCTGGTCACCCCCGGCTGGGCTCGGGGCACCCATTGGAACAGGGCCGTGTGCTCAGGACAGGGAACAGGTACTGGCACCTGGCCCCAGGCAGGTTCCCTTGGCTGTTGATAGGACAGGCAAGTGGGAAACAGGATCCTGATCTTTTCTCTGAGGCTCTGGGGACCTCTGGCCAATCACTCGACCTCTCTGTGCTTTGGTGTCCCCATCTGTGAGCTGGGGCCGGTGAGGCTGAGCTGCCTCTCAGGAGGTGTGAGGTGCCCTGCATGGCTCTACCACAGTCCCGGGGTGGAAGGCGCGCCGGTGCCAGGTGTTGTGACACGCCACCGCCACCTGTGAGAGCCCAGGAGGAGAGTGAGACCTCCCAGTGACCCCGAGAGACCCCCGGCCCGTCCTTGGAGGAGCCCTCCCGCGGGGGAGGACAGCGAGGCGAGGAAGGGAGTTTTTTAAAGAACTATTTTTAGCTGTCCTAACCTGTTGGCCTTTTTTAGCCGGCGAGTGGACGCAGCTCCACTTCCCGCCGGATATGCAATGCTGCACTATGCATGGATTACTCCTCTGGCTTAATGGGAAAAGTCCACATAAGCAGTTTTAGGAACGTAACTCCATGTGCACACGGGTGCTCCAGGGGAGCGGGCTGCCTCGGGGGCTTGTGCCAGCTCCGGTGGGGTCCCTGCTGCCGCCGGGGCTTTGGGGGGGCTGCAGAGGCTTTCCGGGGCGTTTTGGGGAGGGGGCCCCCCCTCGGGGGAGTGTGCTGCCACAGACACGTGTGTGTCCAAGCAAATGTAAAGCTGCATGGGAGGAACCCGCGTGTAAGCACAGGGTGTGTGTGCGCCGGGCTGTGTGACGACTTACAGCACATCTTTGCACTGTAGAGGTTTAGTTAGCTTTGCCTTGAATGAAATAAAGTTTACGTTTACTAGAGAAACTCGCCGTGGTTTGGGGTTGCTGTGGGTGTCTGTTTAGGTCTGGGGGGGACTGGGTAAAGATAACCCCGTGAGGGAGCAGGAGAAAGGCTCGGGAGGCTGTGTGAAAAAACAAATCCTTTCCTTTAATGGGAATGAGGGACGCTCGAGACCACAAACATCATTTCTCCCAGTACAGCAGGAGTGAGCTGACAGCAGCTTGGCCCCCCAGGAGCCATCCTGCCACAGCGGGGTCAGCACAGGGCAATAAATTAATCTTTCTCCGGAAGGGAGTTTGAGCCGGTGAGATTCCTTCACGGGATCAGTGGCCGTCACTCCAAGTCATCCTCTGTCTGCTTGGCTGGGCTCTGGAGCCCTGAATCACAGCTGCCAGAGAGGGTTTGGGAGCCTCTGCTCACCTTCCGTGGCTGGGGATCCATGTCCCTGCTGCTGCCAGAGCAAGGGCAGAGGGGTGGGAAGGGAGGCTCGGGGCGAGGAGCGACCTGTTCCGGCAGGTCTCAGAGCTCCGACTGTAAGGACAGAGAGGCACAGAAGGAATTGAGAGCTTTGAAAGGGCAGCCAGAAGCAAGAGGAATGCAGCTGTGTCCTTAGGGAGGCAGCTCAGCAGAAGGGAGCTGCCTCTCCCCCTCGGGCACTGACCCTGCGCACGGCGTAGATCCAGTCGAGGTAGGCACGGACGCTGGTGTAGACGCCGGGTGTGCTGGGGGTCCCGCAGCCCTGGCCCCAGCTGACGATGCCCACGACCTGCCAGTGCCCCCCCGAGTACAGGAGGGGCCCGCCGCTGTCCCCCTGGGAAGGACAGAGCCTCAGGATGGCCCCGCAGAGTGACGGTGCCCGCAGCAGCCGTTCCGAGAACAGCTCTTCCCTCAGAGGAGCCGTGTCAGGGATGGGTACAGACCCAGCCGGCCCTGTGCCCAGCCCAGGCCCCACCTGGCAGGTGTCCACGCCGCCCTGGGGCAGGCCGGCACACAGCATCCTGTCGGTGACATCGCCGTGGTAGGCGGCCAGGTTGCAGCTCTGCTCATCGATGAGCTCCACCTCGGCCTGCTGCAGGCGCTCCGACAGCTTCCCTGGGTGACACACGGCCTCTCAGAGGGACCCGGGGTGAGGAGGGAGCCCTCTGGCCCCTCTGCTCCTGGCAGCAGTGCTGGGGGCTGTGCCTGGTCCCCGTCACCCCATGCTGTGCCACTCACCGTGCTCCTCTGTGTAGCCCCAGCCGATCACCCACAGGGGTGTGCCCGGCACCAGCTCCTCATCAAAGTAGGGCAGGCAGATGGGCTTGGTGCTGTCTGGAAAGGAGATGTGAGGAGGGGCTCACAGGGACAGGGCCCAGACAGGCTGGGGACAGCCACCAGCTGGGCACCCCACTCTCTGCTCCAACACTCGGTGCCCACGGAACGCTGCCAGGCCGGGCACGGCCACCTCAGAGCCATCAGGGGACACCTGTGACTCCTGCCCCCAGCAGAGCCCTGCCAGGCTCACCTGAGTCATGCACAGGGGAGCGCAGCTTCACCAGGGCGATGTCATTGTCCTTGGGGGACACAGGTGTCACCTCTGCCAGGAACACCTTCTCCACGGCGATGGTGGCAGCGCCCGACAGGAGGTCGGAGCCGGCCTTCACCCGCCAGCTCTGGATGATGGGGTTGTTCCTGCACACAGATAATGCTGTCACCACTTGTCCCCCCGCGGGGACAGGCACGGAGCCCCGTGCAAACTGTTCATTCCAGGAGGTTTAACCAGCAGGCGGCTCAAAGCCGGCAGAGAGGCTCCCACTCACTTGAAGCAGTGCGCGGCCGTCAGCACCCAGCCGGGCCCGATGATGCTGCCCCCGCAGATGTGCTCCTTCCTGTACTGCAGACTGACCTGCCAGGGCCACGCCTCGATGGCAGCCGGGCTTCCCCCCAGCACCCGCGGGGTCCTCACGCTCTGCCCGCAGTCTGGGGACAGCAGAGGGGACACCTTGCAGGGACGGGAGGGGCACAGCAAAAGGAGGCTCCCAGGGACAGCAGTGTGGCCAGGCTGCTGTCACCCCTCATCCCCAGGCTTGCTGGAAGAGGTCCAGTCATCCCCTGCCTGCTCCAGGCCCCCAGGATTTAGTTTAATCAGGGTAATTTGCAGGTAAAAGTAAAGCCATGCAGGCAGCCGGGTAAACCTCCCTTAGGCGTTTCATTTCTGGGAGGTTTGTGCTGGCTTAACGAGGTTAGCAGTAATTAAATCCATCTTTCCTCATGCAAACACTGTGGAATGGGCTTGGGATGGAGCCACACTCCCACGGGGCCGTGCCAGGAGCGAGGACCTGGAGCAGGATGAGGCCCCAGTGCCCACAGGGTCCGGCCACCATCATGGTACTTACTGGAACAAAAGAGTGACACAACCAGCCCCGAGAGGCATTTCCTGCAAGAGGAAGGAGAAGAGTTGGATTTGGCTCCTCTGCCAGGCACCACAGGCTCCGGCTCGGGGTCCAGTCCCCACTCACCTGCCTGGCTCAAGCACATGGAGGCTCCCGTTGCTCAGCACGACCTCACGGGGAGGCAGAGGCTGCCCCACGCTCACCTCCACGCCCTGGAAAGTTGGGGTGCTGGAAAACACGGGGGGACAGGGCATCAGGTGTGGGGGAGAACAGGCACCTTGGGAGGCTGGATCCCACAGATAAAGGGGCTTCACTGGGACAGGGATGCCAAGGTAAGGATGTCACAACCCTGGAGGGCCAGGCCACAGGAACAGGGGCAGGAGCAGCTGAAGAAGGGGAGTATGTTCCCTGCTATGCAGAGTGAGCAGCTGGCTCTGGGAGAACTCAGGGGGTCCTTGCTGTTGTGACATTTGGCACCTGTGTTCAAAGCCTCGATCACTGACTTTTTGGGCCTGGAAAATGCCAGGTTGGATTCAGTCTGGGCCCTTACAGCGGCTCAAACACCAGAAACCATCTTCAAGGGGAAGTGCAGGGCCCTGA